ATGCTGAAACATATATCCCCATATATGAATCTTTATGTTCTTCTGGGAGAACAGCAATAGGGCAAATTCCCAGCAGGTGAACTGCTGAGTCAGAGATGTCGTGCTTTGTAAATTTTGACAGATATGGCTTAACCCTCCAAAAAGGTCACATAAATTTGCACTCTCCCCAGCAGTGTGGAGACCTTTTCCCAAAACTTTTTTTTTTTCAAAGATGGGGTCTCACTCTTGCTCAGGCTGGTCTTGAACTCCTGAGTTCAAGGGATCCTCCCACCTCAGCCTCCCAGAGTGCTAGGATTACAGGCATGGACCATAGCACCCAGCCTTCCCCAAACTCTTACTAGCATCATTATGATTGTTATTTTCAATCTGAAACTTGCTATAACTATAACCAAAGCCATTGTTTCTTCTTTATGTGGCTTCTTTCCTTGAAAAATTTTCTCAGATGTTCTCTGATTAATATCCAATCTCTTTATGCAAGTAAAAAGGAAGAGATATAAGCTATGGGTGCCAGAAATATATGAAGTGTTTTCTAACTAATCACTCAAAAACCAATCTCTCTATTCCCCAAGCTGTAATACTATTAAATTTTCTGAGTTGAAGTCTTCCAAACTCAACAGGGTATTTTTCATCTGGAGTAAAAAGGGGAAAAAAATGAATAGCAATTCTCAGCCCCAACGTGGCTGCTTTTCTGCTTGCTGGTTGAATTTCCTATCCCAAAACAGAGGCTTACAGGGCTTCTGGATGTCATCTGGAGAGATATTGAGCAGAAATCCGTCCCTCCAAAGAGCTGGGGACACCAGAACACTTCAGAAATATTAATACTACCTGGGGGAAGTTCTTGGTTCTTGTGCTTAGGGGGAAACAGACAAAGTGCAACTTTTGTGAAGAAAATGCATTCCCCGTTCACTGCGGAAATATCTGAAAAGAACCCTGAAAAGAAGTCGGAAAAAAAAGCTACTTGTCCCACAGAGGGGAATGTCTTCTAAACAAATTGCGGCAGGACCTCTGTGGGAATGCCGTGCGGCTGATGCGGTCATGTGCGGAAGAATATTTAATGACGGAGGAAATGCTCATCATCGGTTAGGTGAGGAAGAAGAGAGAAAAATTAAAAGTGTGTGAATGCACAGAAACAGGCCGGGAAGGAACATGACGCAAAGTTAAAGGCAGTTGTTTTGGGGTGCTAAGATTAAGGGTGATTTTGATCTCCTACAAAAATCAGTGTTACTTTTATAACAATACAAAAGTCATACAACAAAAGCATGTGTTATGTTTAAAGATAAACGCCAGCATTTTCCTGGCACGCAGAGGACTACAGTGAAATTTGGTGTGTGCCCAGGTAGCTGGCGTGAGGTCGTGCCCGGGAGCTGAGGCTACATATATGTATTGCAGACTCAGCCCTGCTCCAGGCTTTCTTGTGTCTTGGGATTAATTTCCAAGGCATTTTTTTTTCCTTTTTTTACAAAAAATTGTTTTAGGGCTCTTATTAGGATCTAATCTGAAGCTTAGTGAAAAGTCCAGGATTGTGTAAGGAAATGTCCATGAGCCCTTTACCCAAACCACTGTTTTTATTTTGCACCATTGCCTGTATGTTTTTATTACATATGCATATTTTTCTGAATCCTTTGAAAATATGCTGAAGACATTGTGCTCTTTTACCCCAAAATACTTCAGGGGATAGTTCCTGAGAACAAGGTGTTCTCCTATCCGACCATGATACAGTAGCACAGTCAGGAATTGAAGACGGATGTAGTACCATTATCTAATTCTCAGTTCGTGTTGGAGTGTCCCGGACTTCCCAATAACGTCCCGTGGGATCATTTCCCCACTCCAGGATCACATCCAGGTCCTTGTGCTGCACCTGGTTGTTGTGTCTCTTTAGTGTCCTTCAATCTGGGACAGCTGCTTGGTCTTTCTTTGTGTCCCTTGAACTTCATGACCTTTGTGTCCCTTGACCTTCATTTTTGGCTAGTTTGTAGAAAGTCCCTCGTTTGGGGTTTGTCTGATGTTTCCTCATTACCAGATTTAGGCTGGTGCTTTTTGTCAGGAACGAATATGCCATATCCTTTCTTTTCAGTGCAGCTTTTTAGGACAAATGTGATGTCGGTTTGCCCCCATAGGGGTGGTGTTGGGTTTGAAGACCAGCTTAGTTCCTCTGCAGTAAAGTTACTGTTCTTCTGTTTGCATTCAATGTGCAATTTTGGGGAGAGCCCTTGAGATCAGGCAAATATTCTACTCCTCATCAAATATGCCCTCCCTAATCTCATTCCGTGGATGATTCTCTAATCCCATTCTGCCTTCTGTGTTTAGACATTGACACTATAATAAGAGCTTTCTCTTCTCCTCATTTTTTATTCATTTATTTTTACCAGTATAGATTCTCCTTTATTGAATGTGCTATAATTACTAATATCATTATTTAATTTTATACTCAAATTGCCTCCGATTTCACTGGTGGGAGCCCCATCAAATGGGCTCCTAGGTCCTTTTGACAAGTCCTCACGGTCCTTTGAGCACCTCCTTGCTTTCTGGGGCAAAAAGCTGTTTCAGGCTCATCTTGTGGTTTTCCTCCCCTGGCTCTGGAACCAGACATTTCTCCAAGGAGCCCTGGTTTTTTGTGGTGGAGAAAGCTATTTAGACACCAAGACAAGGGTACCGGTGCTCACTCTACTGTGTGTCATTGCTGTTAGCTCCCCAAGCCGGCAGAGCCAGGACAAATGGATGTGAAACACACACACATACACATACATACTCAAGTTATCTATCTATCTATCTATCTATCTATCTATCTATCTATCTATCTATCATCTATCTATCTATCTATCTATCTATCTATCCATCCTGTCTGTCTGTCTGTATCTAATCTAATCTAAATTTGAAAACACGGGACCTCTCAAGTTCACTACAGCAGCACAAGGCATCCAGGGCAGGAAGTTCTGGCTGCCTTCCTTCTGCCTGCCGACCACCAGATACAAGTCTGGGGAGTGAAGAAAATCAGACTGTATTTTATTATACCTGGTTTTTTTTTCCTCCTTCACTTTAACAGCTTTATTAAGGTCCAAATACAATAAACCGCAAATACTTAAAGTGCAGAAGATAAGTTCTGACACACGCGTTCCCCTGTGAACCATTGAACCATCGCAGAATCCAGACGGTGAACTGCACTTGCCCCCCCCAGGCTTCCTGCTGCACCTCTGCACACCCCCACCCTCCCCTGCCCTGCCCTGCCCTCTCCTTCCCTATCTTACCTCGAGATCGCTGACCTGCTTTCTGTCACTATAGATTAGTGTGCATTATGTGGAGTTTTGTGTAAGTGGAATCATATGGTATGGACCTTTTTTGGACTGCCTTCTTAGCATAATTATTTTGAGATTTGCCCACATTGCCGTGTGAATTCCTTCCCTATTCCGCCGCAGGGATATTCCACAGTTGACTTGTCCATTCACTACTTGATGGACATTTAGGCTGTTTCCAGTTTTCGTCTACTACAAATAAAACTGCCACCAGAACCACGTACCAGTTTTTGTGGGGACCTATGCTTACATTTTTCTTACAGAAATAGTTAGGAGTGGGATCCCTGGACCACATGGTAAGTGTATATATAACCTTTTAAGAAACTGCCAAACTGTTTTCCAAACTGGTTGTACCACGTGTTATGTACTGGAAGCCACTGGACTTCCATCGGGTGGGCCCTGATGTCATTATGGAATGGAGGCCGACAGCTTAGAGCTGGATTTATGGAGGAGAATATTTTCTTCTAGAACCTTGGGATGTGGCCCTGGACATGTTTCTTTGGAATACACTCCGTAAGGGTATAAAAGGACATGCCCTGGTAGGCTCAGACCCCTTCCTTGAAAGAGGTCAAGCTGTTGTTTCGTTGGTTATACAGGGGTGGGCTTTAAGGAGATTCCAAACAACCTGAGATTTATGTCAGCCGACTGGAGGCTCTGTGCATTACAGCAGGAAGACTTGGCCTTTTTCTTAGTTCACAAACCTAGGACCTCCTTGTCCTGCTGGAGTCGGGGTAAAGAGGAGAAGGTGGGTGCTGGGGACATGGGGACCTCCCAGGGAGAGAGACCTTGACCCCAGTGGGCACACCAGCCCTTCGGTTCCTTTGGCCACCTGGTGCCCAGAGGCCCTTCCCTGGCCGTGCTGGGCATAGACCACTCTCAGGGCAACCACCGTCCCGCCGTCCGCACTGAGCCCCTTAGTTGATGGCAGGGGAAGGGAGCCAGTCAGCTAAACTGGGCTTGGCAGAGGAGTTGAATCAACAAAAAGAGTACTAATGTAAAAAGGGGCTGGGCGTGGTGGCTCACGCCTGTAATCCTAGCACTCTGTGGGGCCGAGGTGGGTGGATCACTCAAGGTCAGGAGTTCTAGACCAGCCTGAGCAAGAGTGAGACTCCGTTTCTACTAAAAATAGAAAGAAATTCTCTGGACAATTAAAAACTTATATATATTATATATATATATAACAATTAGCTGGCATGGTGGCACATGCCTGTAGTCCCAGCTACTTGGGAGGCTGAGGCAGGAGGATCGCTTGAGCCCAGGAGTTTGAGGTTGCTGTGAGCCAGGTTGACATCATGGCACTCTAGCCCGGGCAACAGAGCCAGACTCTGTCTAAATAAATAAAATAAAAAGGATAGGCTGAGGAAAAGTCAAAAGCCCCCTGGCAGCTCCTCAGCCCTGGATAGGAGGATGCACTAATGATTGGCTAAGTAGGAGGAAAACAAGCACTAGAATCAGGTGACTGGCAGAGCCAAGGGGGTGAGTGACACCTTCAAAAGAGAGGTTTCTTTCATTTCTATGCTAAGAGTATGATTCTGAAATCTAGAATATTTAACTGGATATCAGTATAGCATAGACTCTAACTTTTGCTTGGGATTTTTTTTTTCCACAAGCATAAACAGATTTCATATTTAAACTTGTCTTTTTGGTGTTGGGCTGTTACTATACATTACAAGCCGGTTCCCCTTTTTGACTTCTGCCTCCTCTTTCTAGAAGCAGGCCTGCGTCTGACCCACCATGACAGCCACGGAGCTCGCAGTGAGTACAGCCACGCGACCCTCAGAGCACACTCTTGTCTCCCCTGCTGTGGGGGTGTGGGAAGGAATCCATGCAGAGGGAGGATTTTTCTGTGTGGTTTCCCAGGGTTAGATCTCTGCCTGGCAACACCTGTTCTCAGGTAGGTTGCTGTCAGCATGGAGGGCTTTGCACACACAAAGAGCCAGAGGTGCTTTGGGGCACGTTGTGAAGACAGGAAAATGCAATTTTAGATTTTATTAATAGCTAAGGGTTATTAATATTAATAGTTAATTAATATTAATAGTTAATAACTAGGACCTGATTAGTTCCATGTGTCTGTTCTGAAATGCAGACAAACAAGAGTAGGGCAGAATCCACTTAATGAAATTAATTAATTACTTTTTTTTTTAAGAGATGGGCCTTTCTTGCTATGTTGTCCAGGCTGATCTTGAACTCCTGGACTCAAGTGATCCTCCTACCTCCCAAGTAGCTGGGATTATAGGCATGAGCCACTGCATCCGGTGCATTGAATTTGTTTTTAAAAGACCCATGGTGGGTACATTGGTTGTATTTCTTGCACAACATGACATAGACCTTGCAAGAACCCATGATGATATATATTCCTCTGGAAGAGACAAAGAGCTGAACAAAAATGAGTGAGTCAGTCATTCTTTTATAGCCCAATGTAATTAATCATACAACCAAATCAAATTCCTTTCCTTTTGTTGTATCCATACATGCCTTATAAGAATTATCTAAGGGTTTTAATTTTGCCTTTCTCAAAGGGAAAGTCTGAGTTTTACATATAGATAATCGAATCAAGCCTTCTCAGGGGGCTAAAAACCTGCCCTCCATAGTACATTGTAGGTTTCCATGATGTATGGAGAGTGCTGGTTGAAGCAGTTTGTTAACTCGATTATTTCTGATATGCTAATGATTCTTTAGTGTTATACGTGTATAGATATGCATAGGTGTGTTATATATGCACATACGTCCCTATCAACAAAAATGGTAACTAATTTGGTCCTGGCGGGGTTACGCGGTCAGTCTCCACTTTCCTGACCGGAAGTGGACTCCTCGGTTTTCCTGCGTTAGAATTAGAATTTGCCTCCGTCCCGAGGCTGGGAAAGCAGATCTAGATTGAGGCTGCTTCTGAGATTGTCGGCCACTTGTTTTTATCCTTTGGGATCTTGTAACATAGCCAAACTGGGCAAGGCAGCCCCAGGTAAGAACCCTGGGTTCTAATAACGACCTTCTATGGCCAGGGGAATCCAGCACCACCCAGACGGGAAGAGGATGGGGCCTCTGGTCCTCACTCCTGCATTTGGCGGAAAGTAGCCATGGCATCCTGAGGCACCTTTCTGAGGATGTGCTCGGCTGTCCCCACCCAGGTGCCCCACCTGCCCTCGGCCTCACAGTAAAGGCAGAGCCTGTTTACAGGCAAGGACACCGAGACTGGGAGAGTCGATTTGATGCGCCCTGCACACTATGCAGTGGGTCACAGTGCTTGTGTGTGTGCATGCAGTTGAGAGTATATGTACATGTGTGTACGTGCATGTGTAAGAGTGTGTGAGAGTGTATGTGTGTGTTGGTGGTTCTGGACTTCCAGAACTCAGAGGGGCTGTAACCCAGATAAGCTTAAGACCCCCTTTTATGGAGGGGCGGGTAGAATAGATAGGAGAAGGGGCAATGGCGGTCATTCACAGAGTTGGATGAAAGTGGCCATCGGTGGCGTGTCGGCACCACGCCTTCCCGCCCAGGCACAGCCCTTGTCAGGCAGAATGTCGTGTTCATTTGCTCATCTGTATCCTCCACGGGCAGGCCAGTTCCATGAGAGTGGGAACCACATCTGACTTACTTGCCACTGTATCTTTAGCACCTAGCACAGTAACCAACATACAGTAGGTGCTTAATAAACATTTGTTTAAAGCGGGGCACAGTGGCTCACGCCTGTAATCCTAGCACTTTGGGAGGCCGAGGCGGGTGAATCGCTCAAGGTCAGGAGTTCAAAACCAGCCTGAGCAAGAGCAAGACCCCATCTCTACTAAAAATAGAAAGAAAATTAATTGGCTAACTAAAATATATAGAAAAAATTAGCCAGGCATGATGGTGCATGCCTGTAGTCCCAGCTACTCGGGAGGCTGAGGCAGGAGGAGGATTGCTTGAGCCCAGGAATTTGAAGTTGCTATAAGCTAAACTGATGCCACAGCACTCTAGCCTGGGCAACAGAGTGAGACTCGGTCTCAAAATAAAAAACAAAAACAAACATTTGTTGAATGAATAAATATGTTACGCCCCAAGCAGATGTCCTTGGAATTCCTACTTCCTATGCATATATGTCTTTTGGGGTTGGAGGGGTCAATTGGTCCATGCCTCTGCCATCAGACAGGACCTCCAAAAGACTGTCCTTGACTCAATGCCGTCTTGTGTCCCTTCTCAGGGCCTTATTCCTAATATGTCTGATGACTACAGCTATGACGCCACATCTTCCATGGATGACTACATGAACTTCAACTTCACCGACTTCTTCTGTAAGAAAAACCACGTCAGGCAGTTCGCGAGCCATTTCCTCCCACCCTTGTACTGGCTCGTGTTCATCGTGGGTGCCGTGGGCAACAGTCTGGTCATCCTTGTCTACTGGTACTGCACGAGGGTGAAGACCATGACCGACACGTTCCTTCTGAATCTGGCAATCGCCGACCTTCTCTTTCTCGTCACCCTTCCCTTCTGGGCCATTGCCGCCGCAGACCAGTGGAAGTTCCAGACCTTCATGTGCAAGGTGGTCAACAGCACGTACAAGATGAACTTCTACAGCTGCGTGCTGCTGATCATGTGCATCAGCGTGGACAGGTACATCGCCATCGCTCAGGCCATGCGGGCGCAGACCTGGAGGCAGAAAAGGCTTCTGTACAGCAAAATGGTTTGCTTTGCCGTCTGGGCGGTGGCGGCCGCGCTCTGCATCCCAGAAATCCTGTACAGCCAAATCAAGAAGGAATCTGGCATTACCGTCTGCACCATGGTTTACCCCATGGACGAGAGTGCCAAGCTGAAGTCAGCTGTCTTGACCCTGAAGGTCATCCTGGGGTTCTTCCTTCCCTTTGTGGTCATGACCTGCTGCTACACCATCATCATTCACACCCTGATACAAGCCAAGAAGTCATCCAAGCACAAGGCCCTGAAAGTGACCATCACTGTCCTCACCGTCTTTGTCTTGTCCCAGTTCCCCTACAACTGCGTTCTGTTGGTGCAGACCATAGATGCCTACGCCTTGTTCATTTCCAACTGCGCCATTTCCACCAACATCGACATCTGCGTCCAGGTCACTCAGACCATCGCCTTCTTCCACAGCTGCCTGAACCCCGTTCTCTACGTTTTCGTGGGTGAGAGATTCCGCCGGGATCTCGTGAAAACCCTGAAGCACTTGGGTTGCATCAGCCAGGCCCAGTGGGTTTCGTTTACGAGGAGAGAGGGGAGCCTGAAGCTGTCGTCCATGCTGTTGGAGACCACCTCGGGGGCGCTCTCCTTGTGAGAGACCGTCTCTCTGAGCCGGGTGGTCCTTCCGGAAGTAAGAAGAAATACGGATACAGTTTGATGGGACCAGAGAGAAACCAAAGAAGAAAAAGGAAGTGAGAGAGAGGGGAAAAAAAACAAAACAAAACCCAGAAAGGAATGAATCTGAACAATATTATTACTTTTAGCTGGAATTTGCCAAACTGGAGTTTTCAAAGTTGACTGGCCACGCCAGGAAGCTATCGACTAGCTCTTGGCTGCAAGAGGACCGACAGGAAGACCAGCAAGCAGCCCACCCTGGCTTTGACACTGGCCCGAGCATTAATGCAGCTGACCTCTGGAGGAGGCGTTGGGTTTTTCTCAGTGCACTGTGAACTGCTGTGGCTTTGGTTTTGATGCCACTTCTTCCAAAGGGGGGCATAGAAGCATTGGTCACTGCCACAGCCCACAAAAGCAGAAGATTTCATGAAAGCTTCCATCTTTGGGAAATTTTCACCCTGGTTTTGGGCCTGTTACCCATGCTGGGTCTTAAAGAGTCCTGATCTAGAATCTTTACAATCTCAGGTCAAAGTACCCTCTGGTCTCCTTGGTCTGTTCGGGGCCAGCGAGGGTCCTTGTTCCTGTTTTGAAATATCTGCAGGTCAGGTCAGTGAGTCCCTGGACAACTGGCCACACCAACAAGTCATCCAGAGTCTGTTGGCTTCCAACCCACTCTTGTGCCCTGTTAGAGACTTTGGTCTAGGCAAGGATTCAGCTTGTCCACTGCAGCCGTGAAAGTGGCCCTCAGAGCCTGAGCAAGGACGTTGATAAGCTGCATTAGTGGGAGCCAGCCCTGGCTCTGTCATGGGCTGGCTCTGTTGAGGGTCGCTTGTTGCTGGTCACCCCAGCTGCTCCTTATAAAGCGAGTTGGTTCTGTCAGTCCTCTGCTTTCTGAGGCTGCTGGAAGGCTATTTCCTTCTCTGCTTCTTTTCTTAGTTGGTAGCACCAACATTTTAAAAGCTTCTAATTTAGAGATTAGGCTGAAAAAAAATAAGTAATAGAACTCCCTTTTGCTTTGTGTCTTTCTTTTAATTATTTGGCAAATTTATCCTATTTGAAAACATTTTGCATATTGGAAAAGTGCTTTTTACTGTGTACTTAAAATAGCATTACTTGTCACTTTCTTTACCCTGCCTCAATATCTTAAGTGTGTGCAATTAAAGATCAGATAGATGCATTAAGAGTGTGAAGAGTAAGAGATTGAGATAAGGAAATAAGATCTCCCAATATCTTAAAACCATCTTGGCTAACTTATCTCCCAAGTTTTTCCAGGTAGTCAAATGGAATTTCCGAGGAGGACTATGGGGGTGGCACCAAAAATGGCCCCCGGCTTTGCCGCTTGCCCTGGACGAAGCGTCTGATTTCCCCGGTGCACTGTGGGCTGCGGTGGTTTCAGTTCCAACAGCAGCCTCGCCAAAGGGAACCCGAAAGTGCCGGACTCCGTTCTGCCACACCACTCTCCTCCTCCCTGCCCGCTTCTTCTACGGCACGTGGCGGTGAGAAATAAAGCGAGCGGAATATGGGCAGCTCAACAAGGGAGGCAAGGGGTGAAGCAAAGGCCTCGCCACCCCACATCGGCATGCCGCCCGTGCCTGGGCAGCTGGCGGTGAGAAAGCGTCGGCCTGGGACCACACAGCAACCCGTCATCACGGGCCCCGCACAGCACGCACCGCGCCCACGGTCGGGGGAGCATGACCTTTCCAAGGTCAGCTATGGACAGAGCCATCCCTAGGACTGTCATTTCCAGGAGAAGACTCAGATGTCTGCTCTTCCGAGCACCTTGGAAGAATAATCAAGAAGCACAAGTCACACCTGAATGACATCGCGCAGCTAGGCGGAGACAGCGCAGTTGAGTTTGGCTTCTCCGTTCTGTAGCCCTTTGACACCGTGGTTCTCATACTCAAAGTAGCAGTGGTGCTGAACGTGGGAGAGGGATGGAAAAATGGGGGAAAAAAAATGCCAGGGACTTCACTCCCCCCCCTCCGATCTGTAAGAACAGAGCTGCGGGGACGACACACGAACTATGAACGCCACATTGTACCCTATTGCGCAATGGCCATGTCCGGCTCCAAGAACTTCTCCCAGGACCCTCAGTTGCTATCGGACTCTCCCAGTCCTAACACAGCTTCAACGTAGGAGCAAAGATATGCTGTACCTGTATGATATTTTAAAGTTGTTAAGTATCCTTTGTTGATGAAGTGTCTTTTTAAATGATTACATAAATAGGACTGGTAAAAAATGACAGCACAAATTTGAATTTTGCATTCTAATTAAACTAGATTTAAGTTAACAGGTGAATGCTAAAATAAAAACATTGGAAGAGTCAGCACGGAGAAATCCATGGGGATATTGGGGTTCACGCAGCACTTCTAGGAAATATGCTTTGTATTTTTGCAATAAAGATAAAGGGGGAATTTAATATGTACTTACATTTCATTGGAACTCTATAAATTAGAACGAATCAGGAAACTGAATGGAATGTGACATGTTTTCATTATTAAAAAGAATTGGCTTTTTTAATAAAATTTTTTAAAAAAAATTAATTTTAAGCCAATTAATTACAACATACATATACAAATAGGGAATGTTATTTTGAAGCTATCAGCTTGGATGATTAGAGATTTGATCTTTTTGGACTGTCAGACCTGCAGAATACACACTCACTCGTTCATTCAACCAACCTGTGCATGTGCTCTAAGCCGGGCCCTGTTGTACCACCAAGGTTATAATGGGGAACATGACAGTCTTTCCCGCGAGACGTTTACATTCCAGCAATATGGAAAAGCCGGACTTTAGAGGATAGTCTGGAAGGCTCTGCCAGGTGATGTCCCTTAGATGAGAATCACGAGGCTGGTATCCTCGAATGGCTTATAGACGGGTTTGTAGACTGTTCCCAAGACAAGTCACACACACAGCAGCATCATGAGAACAACACAGACTTCCCAGGTGAGATCTTGGACAAGCAGCTTTGTGTATGTACCTGTTCTGGTGCCTACATTAAACAGCCACCCTCCCCTCCACACACAAATGCCTTGTGTGTAGTAGGCACAATCATATTCAATGAATACATTATTAACATGTGAAATTAACCATTTACCAGATACGTGTTTCATGTGTCAAGAGTTCAGCTGCTAGAAGGCTTCTGAGAAATAGAGACTGGCAACCTTGAGCAATGGGGCATTGCACCCTCTGGGCAGTGGTGTTGCCCTGCTGTCCACGGCCAGCCTGAGTGGGGCGTGGTCAAGGCAGGGCTGGCCAGACCAGCACCGACACCAGTGCCTTCCCAGCCTTCCTGTGGCCATTTTTTTTTTTTTTTTTGAGACAGAGTCTCACTCTGTTGCCCGGCTAGAGTGCCGTGGTGTCAGCCTAGCTCACAGCAACCTCAAACTCCTGGGCTCAGGCAATCCTCCTGCCTCAGCCACCCAAGTAGCTGGGACTACAGGCATGTGCCACCATGCCTGGCTAATTTTTTTCTATATATATTTTAGTTGACCAATTAATTTTCTTTTTTCTTTTAGTAGAGATGGGGTCTCACTCAGGCTGGTTTTGAACTCCTGACCTTGAGTGATCCTCCCACTCCCAGAGTGCTAGGATTATAGGCGTGAGCCACCATGCCCGGCCTTTCCTGCGGCCTTCGGAGCAGTCAGATTGCTTCCTGCCACGGCTCTGTTGAGGGAGGTTGTGGTTATAACTGCGTCCACTTGCTCCTCTTGGCAGTTGTCACAAATAGTCCCGAGCAAGGAGAGAACCAGCCACAGAGAGCCCTTCATCTGGTCTCCTGGACCGTCCACTGCATTGTGCCCATTATGGGTGGCGTTTCCATGGCGGTGTTGACTTACATACAAAACCAAGGCTGTCACGAAGCGTTGATGGGATGCCACCTCTGGACCCCTCCACAGGCTTTCTGCTTCGGTGGCGACAGCCGTCCCGCACGCACAGAGGGTTCCTTGGTGTTGGCAGTCCTCCACTGGTGTGGCCGGCTCTCCAGCTCTGGGGTAGCCTCACAAGAATCGGAGCGTCCCCTGGTTCCAGACCAAAAGCGCAGCCACCGGCACCCCGCCTGGCGCTGAAGCCCCGGGCCCCCGTCCCGCACTGACGTTGGCCACTCGCACCTCACTGGGGCCTCCTCTCCTGTACTCTGCCCAGCCCATCCCAGGTGAGGTCTGCTCAAGGCTCTCTGTGGCTTGGAAAGAAGAGAAATGATCATGGCCCCCAGCACTGCACGTGACACATCCTACAAGGACGCTCAAAAGAACTCTCTGTGCAGTGAGCAGTCGCTGACCGCTCACCACGTGTGGTTCGTGAGTGCGATGCTGTGGCCTTAGACTCCTCCTCGCAGGCCAGACGCTCTGGTGCCTCTCCCCATCTCGCGTGCCCCGCCTTACCACTGGGGGCCCTGTCCGGCGTCGGCCCGGGACAGCGCAGTGGCTCTCTAATCCTGTCTACACGGCAGCACAGACAACCCCGACAGCTCACGGCGCAGTCAGTGTCTTTCCTTGACCTTTACCTCATCAAAGCCTAAAAAAGACACGCAAACGTGCATCTCCGGCGGGTGACTTTTTGAGCTCCTCTTCCCTGCAGACATACTCGTATTTCGCACACACTCAATTTGGGCACCGCGGGCTCAGCAGACAGCCTCTGCGGCCAAATGGAGATGCATCACGAATGAGCCCGGAGGCAGCGTGGTCAGCTGCCAGCTCCGAGGGGCCTGACCCCGCCGCAGGGCCACTCCACCCAAAGCCGGGTCTTCCCGGAGCCACCTGCCCCGTGCCATCGGGGCCAACGGGGCACTCTGAAGGGCAAGGTCTCCGGCTGCCTGCCGGCGGGCGGGTCTCCGTCGGGCATTCCTCGCAGTTCCAGTTCTCCCTCTGCTCAGTGACGCTTCCTCCTGCTCCCTTCCCGGGTGTGGATTCCCAACAAGCACCTTGCACCCCACTTCCGTCTCAGCACCTGCCTCTGGAGGAGTCAGTGGGCAGCAATCTTCTCATCAAGGGCTGCCGATTCCAAGAGCCCGCCTGTGGCCCCGTGGGGAGAACACCGGGTTTGCAGGAGACCTGGGCATGGGTGAGCGGGCGGCGGTCGCAGGACTCCTCTGGGAAAGCCGAGAGCTCGGTCCCCGTCCCGTCATCGTCCTGCCACTCGGCAGATGTGCTCGGGCACCAGCTGCGCGCCAGGGGCCCTGGGGTGTCCGGGCAGACAGGGTCCCCCTCATGAACTTCCAGCACCATCTGCTGCACGCTCACTCCGTGCCAGGTGTCAGGTCGCACTGCTCCTAGCTCTGATTGACAGACGCAGGAGCTGAGCCTCAGAGATGCCAAGTAGCAGTTAGCAATCGACAAAGACTGGGACATAGGCCTGGGAGTGTCTGGCCTCAAACCGTGGTGTGGACCACCATGCTGACTGCCTTGCCTGCACGGCCAGACCCC